CTGAGCAGATGGTAACTGAGGCATAGCAGCAGCAGGTTTAAAATGGGATTCATCTTTGATCTTACTATTTCCAGCAGTTTCAAAGGATTTCTCACTCTTTGTTGAGGACTTCTGTTGAGCACTAAGGCATGAGGAAATCTCATTATTTTCTTTGTTTCCCAGATTTTCAGAGTCCTCTCTCTGGAAGGGTTGACTCTCTCTGTCCTTGTTCTCTTCATGATACCAATGCATTTGTGCTCTCCTCTGTAGGATGTCCCCCAAATCACTGTGTTGCACTTCGTTTATCATTTCAAGGATGGTTTCACACTCGATTCTTGCAAGAAATATTTCAAATGCAGTCTCTTTTGTTTCCTCCTCATTTATCTTTCTGACAAGTGAATACTCTGTTGCTGTTGTTGCAATGTAACCTATTTTCTCCAGTACTGTTCTTACTATGTTTTCTGGGAGCACTGATTGAACAGAGTAGACAAAATTACCTGTAAACGTCTGGGGGAAAAAAAACAAAACATTAAGATGGGCATTGAGGGAAATCATGCAGGGGAAGGGGCTTTTTAAACAAGTTCATAACTATTTAATTTTTTAACAACTATTTCCCTAAACTTGTGTCACCGAGTTTTGAATTTTGAGGTTTTATACCAGCATTATTGGCAGCCTCCTGAAAATTATTGCTTTGCTCAAGTGCGATAACTTCAGTGGAGCTACGCCAATTTCCACCAGCTGAAGATATGGCCCGTTACCTCACTAATTGAAAAGGACAGTGGCAGCAGCAGAAGATCTTCGTGGTCAGACTAGGAGAGTAGAAGAACTACCAGCCACCTTTTCTTGTGTTCCATTCAAGAGCAAAATCTTTTTCAATTTAAAAAATGGAACCCCCTTGAACACTGAAGCTCTCCCATCGACGCAGCGCTGTCTACATGGGGGTGGGTGGGTGTTAGGTTATTATAACTATGTCGCTCAGGGGTGTGGATTTTTCACAGCCTTGATCTGGCCTAAAATATGTTCAGACCAAACAATCTGAGTAGAGTGGAAAAACAGGCTTGTCTTATGCAAAGGAATATGGATTTGCCCATCTGCCTGAGTCTAACTCTGTAAGCTAGAGACAATGAAAGTGTATTTGCCTCTAAGGTAAACAAAGTAATCAACCCACCAGAAAGAGCTAATTAACAAGAGGACAAAAAGGGGACATGCTCCGCACCCTGCGGAACAAGCAGCAGGGAAGCACTTTGTATGGGGTTACTTTTCAAAAAAATACATTTCAAAGATTTTCTGAGTTATAAGGAAGGGGAAAAAGACATTGCGGTTATCCATCCCTTAAGGGACAAAAGGGCCAGCACTTCTGGAATCTGTGAAAGGTGTATTTTGCAGCCAGGTGGATTGAGGACACAGAGAACTGACTGTGAGTGAGAAATTGCCTTATACCAGGCTTGTAATATGTTAAGTTTTAGACACCAGAAAGTGTAATTTATTTATGGTTTACCTGTACCAATTTTTAGTTTCTATTGTCTCTGCTTACTATCACTTAAATCTCTGTTCTTTAGCAATAAACTTATTTTTGGTTTTACCATAAAGTCATCTCAGTGCTGTGTGTTACAGTAAAGCCTGGGTCCTCAGCAAAACTGACAAGCTGTTGTGTGCACTGTCTCTTTGGAGGCAGCAAACTTTGGTAATTTCGGAGACTCTGCAGTGATAGGGGCAGGGTACTGCAGAGGAACTTGCAGAGGGTTTACTGAATGTTCCCTGCAAGTCCAGGTTAAGACTGGCAGAGTCTTGAGGCATTTGCTGGTAAGGCGGACAGATGGATGTGGCAGGGAGCTGACACACAGTTAAACTCCAGCAAAGCCCTCTTGCTGAGGCAGAGGGATAACCCAGTGGCTTACAGTTCTGGGTGCTCTGAGAAAGCATCACAGGATGCTCAGCGCTTTCTGGAAATCAGGCCTCTTTTAAGTGTGCCAAGTTGGGCACCCAAAATCAGTAGTTACTTTGGAAAAATCTTGGTTTAAAGCCTTACATGTAAACATTATTCATAATCCTTTCCATTACCTGTATCTGCCTGTCTCCTGCCTTCTACTCAGATTGTAAACTGCTTGGGGAAGGGGCTGGTTTTTTTGTTTGTTCTGCCTTTGCATGCTGCCTGGCACAGTGGACTCCAGATTCATGCCTGGGGCTGTGAGGGGCTATGTTAATACAAATCATAATGCCATTGTTGGGTTCATTTAATAGAGTTGTATGAATATACCAGCTTCTCTGTTTCTGGAGCTTCCCTTGGTGTTGGAACACTAGATTTCCCACATGTTCCCCTGAACCTAGTCTAAAGCTATAACAAAGAGCTCCAAGGTGCTGAGGTGGTGACTCAAAATTGTGACAAGTGTTTTGAAGGGCTGTTCAAAGATCATAGTATTAGGTAGCTGTAGTAGTCGCTCTGGTCAAGCAAACTCCTGTGCAACAGGCTTGCAGAGGATACTGTCTGTATCATTTTACTCTGGTCTGCTGCAGGCTCCATATTCCTCAGACTCTTTTGTCCTTCATCAAAAGTTTCCGTTCCCTCAGAGTGGCATTTACCTTTCTCTTTGTTTAGCTTTTCCTTATCTCCTGTCTTTTGATAGTTTGTTATATATTTGCCTGGAGAACAATATGGACAGATGAGCAACAGGTTATGGGGGGTGGGGGAGGGGCATAGTCTGTAGGCTGTGTAATTAATCCACAATCAAGGGTGTGACCGTCAAAAAAGACGTGCTAAAAGCCTTTCTGCTTAGCAAAGTTAGGCCAGGCCATCACTGTGGATTCCGCGGTTGACAGTTCCCACTTCTTCTGGTACTGTTTGACTCTGCCCATAGAATCACAGAATATCAGGGTTGGAAGAGACCTCAGGAGGTCATCTAGTCCAACCCCCTGCTCAAAGAAGGGCCAATCCCCAAATCATCACCTTCCATGGATCAGCCCTGTGTCCGCACAGTAAGGATGGCAGCAGGTGGAATGAGCAGGGAACTGAGTAAGCAAGCCCTGTATAGGGCACAGAACTGCTGGAAACTGTGGCTCACGCCCTACACAGGGCTGACGCCCCTCCGCATCCTTCCTCCAGCCCCCTCCTAGCTCTGGCTGTGGGGCTGGCTCACACACCATGCCACGCCCCCCGTGTCTGTGCACTGATTTGTCTTGTGTGATATTTATTTGAGCATTAGAATGAATCCAAACTGGCAACCATGCAGGGCTTAAATGGCATTTCACAGCTCATGCTCTGGGACCCACACTTTTAGAATTATGACATTATGTAAAATTGCTTCCTTTTTTCTGATCTGTAGAGAACCCAATTTGCATTAAAAATAGCCAAGGAAGAGCTATAATGTTAATCTAGCTTGTTTTAATGTTTATGCTTTCTACGTTAGAACATTACTGCAATGTGGCTGTGACATGCAAAGTACAAACACTCCATTCACAAAGACGAGAATGAAGAGACGGCACATAGCTTTTGCTCACCAGTATAACACTGTGAATAGTTTTCGGAGTAGCACCCGTGTTAGTCTGTATCCGCAAAAAGAAAAGGAGGACTTGTGGCACCTTAGAGACTAACCAATTTATCTGAGCATAAGCTTTCATGAGCTGTAGCCACAAGTCCTCCTTTTCTTTTTACTGTGACTAGTGCAAAGCATGCGGCTCCCTTCTAGGAAGGCAGGCTACATAAGCAACATTTTCAAATGCACCTAAAACTTATTTTCCAAAGTGACTTGGGCACTTTGTTGAAGTCTCATTGAAAGTCTTGGGCTCCTAAGGACGATATTTTCAAAGATATTTAGTCACCTAAAGATGCAGCTATGCACCCACTTGGATTTTAAAAAGCACCTAGTTCCCAAAAGGCTAAATGCCTAACCTGCTCAGGTCCTTTTTGAAATCTGACAAGGCACCTAGCTGCATCTTTAGGCAACTACCTTTGAAAATCTGACCTTAAGTCACCTAGGTCTGCATGCAATAAAACACCAGCAGCTGGCCCATGTCATCTGACTTGGGCACATGGGACTCAGGCTATAAAATTATAGCCTAGACATCTGGGATCTGGCTGGAGCCTGCGCTGTGGGACTCCCCAAGGAGGAAGGGTCCCAGATCTTGGGCTCCAGCCCAAGCTGGAACATCTACACTGTAATTTTATGGCCCCATGCAGCCCAAGCCCACATGCCCAAGTCAGCTGGTATATAGACATATCCTTAGGCACTTTTAAAAATTTTATCCCTTGCACATAATGGGCCTGCTTGAAAGCCCACTGAAATAAATAGAAAATTTCCCCTTGACTTCAGGGGACTTTGGATCAAGCTGTAAATCACTAATTTCATTAAAGGTGCAGTACACTGGGAATAAAGCACTACCCTGTGGATTTGATTTATAGCTTTCTGATCCTGTTGCTATGCTACTGTTTTCATCTAATATCTTACCTTCAGCGACTTTATTTCTTTTCTCCAAGGAGAGAGGAACAGGTTGATGCAGAGCAGCTCTAGGAACTCGAAAGCTTGGATCAGGCTTTTGAAAACATTGCCTCCTTGTTGCTTTTTCATCTTTAAACAATTCTCTGCAATGCTGTAGAAGCCAAACCTGCTAAATCTCTCAGCAGGGCACGCACCAGACTCCAGGAAGTGTTTAGCTTTTGCTTTTATCGTTGTCTCGTTGCAGATCAAAAGTTTTCCTTCCCACCACTTCGTGCCATAGTATGCAAGGTAGTCCCTTAAAATGTCTTGTTTGGCTGGTGCTGCTGCTTTCAGCTCCTTCATAGTGTGCAGGAGTGCCACACTAGCAAATAGTGTTCTTTAAATTTCAAGCACGGTTATGGGATTGTAAATGAGGAAGTTGCTATCCTGCTTTACCTTTGCTGAGTTTTTTCTGTCTAATCCGTTATTGGCTTCTCGGTGGCACTGCTAAGAAGTAAGTGGTCACACTGTGTGTCAGTCAAGGCTCAAGTTACAAGGACAGCTCTTGTGGAATCAGGAAGTAAAAACACAAGTCCAAAGCAAAAGTGAAACCTGCTCTCCGGCTGTTCACCATCTGTGCCTACAGCAGCCTCCTGGTGATTACTTACAATAACGGAGTACTCCTGGAAATGTAGGGCCACAGTAAAACAAACGGAATGTAATGACACAGTAATTGGGGGGGGGGGGGTGAGGGATAACTCAGTGATTTGAGCATTGGCCTGCTAAACCCAGGGTTGTGAGTTCAGTCCTTGAGGGGGCCATTTAGGGATCTGGGGCAAAAATTGGGGATTGGTCCTGCTTTGAGCAGGGGGTTGGACTAGATGACCTCCTGAGGTCCCTTCCAACCCTGATATTCTATGATAAACAGCGCAAGGAGTAGGCTGCATTATTCATGATCATAGTTTGTTCAGCCCTCCAGTCAATAACATGCCTGCAGCTACAGTTGGCGATTGTCCTGGGGTCTCCAGGAATTAAAGATTACTCTTTAATTAAAGACTGATTGACGTGTGACAAAACCCTCCAGGAATATGTCCAACCAAAATTAGCAACCCTAAAGCAGTTGCAGTTTTCCCTTCTGAACACTGCAGTATTCTACAGTAATGCAGATAGTTCAGAGGAATACAGTTTGCAGCAGTGAGTCACCAGCATTTTGAGCCATTGCTGCAGGCAAAACTCCTGTTGACTTTATTTGGTGCAGGATTGGATGGCCGGGGCGGGATGCAAGTGGTCTGGACCATGGCATTAGCACAGCCCACAAAATATTGAGTAGTTTGCAGCAGGAAGGGTAAAGTTCTCTGCCTTTATTTATTCATTTTATTTTTCATCCTTTATGTCAGGAAAGCAGCTCCTGCATTAGAAACCTCCCTTCACTGTTTACTTTTATTCCCAACAGGAACATGAACCAATTGCTGTATTAAATCTAACTGGTCACACCAACTGGGAAGAGGTGCCATCAAGCCTGATAGGGAAGACTAAATATCCAGGTCCAAAATTCCATAGCAAGAAGCTGCTGGGCCTGTCCCCAACTCAGTGGAAATGTCTGAGCAAGGTCACATGATTTCCATGCCAAGCTAGACCTTCATTCTACAGGATGCCCTGGGTTTAAGCAGCAGAAGAGATACTCTGCAGCAGCTTTAGGTACATTTAAAGACTGGAGGGTCTGAATGAAATAGGATTATGAATAATGCAGCATATTCCTTGTGCTATTTATTTTGACATTATATTCAGTTTATTTTACTCTGCCTCTACATTGCCAAGATTCGAATGTGAGCAGTGGCTCGATTTAGGATTCCCGTCTCCCTCCCACCCTCTTTGGTGGGGCAGTTTTGTAATCTGGATTTTGGATGCAACACCTAGAAGACTCGTTCAGATCTGGATCGAAACACTCCCCAAATTCAGTGATGTTTGCATTTGGAATCTGGATTTGGGGCTCCTTGTCTTTGGCCAGCACAGTGTTTGTGCCAGTCTTCTCCCATCTGTTAATGTCTGCTCTCCCTATTCTTTTATTGGTCTTCTAGGACTGCCATTTATATTAAGACCAAATCAGAGATAGTGTAATCCAGCCTCACTGCAGGGATGGCCTTGGAACTGCACCTGCTGATTCCAGGTCTGAATTTGGCTCCATAAAATTCTTAATGGCATCACTCACAATAGATTATCCCAGTTACAATATAGCTATTCCTTTTTAAACACCATTTTCTTGTTAATCCCTTTGAATAAATGGTTTCCCTTGATTAATTTTGTGCCAAATCCCAGATTCACATAAACACAGTCATTTGCTGCTCCCTCTTCTCATGCACAAGACAGCTGTGCTCTATTGCAATTGAACCAGTTTTGAATCTGACTTCTCAGGCTTCCTAGAAACATGTGCCTTGATAATCATTCCAAGTGAAATGTCATTGGGAATTTCTTATGTAGAAATCGTGCATGGATAATTGCTCTATTGAAATTGCTGCTTTAGCCAGGAATAAGGACATGTCCGAATGAGGCCATCTGGCCAGCTGCTGCACTATTTCAATGCCCCCTCTCTTAGCCCCAGGAGTCAGAGACGTGGCACCGCTGGAGCCCATAGGCAGCTCAGCTGCACCATCACCACATGCAGACAGCTACTGACCCAAGCTGGGGCCCAGCATCCATGTTTCTGCTCATTCCCCCACCATTATGCTGAGGTGAGCTGAAATATATTTTCTACTGTTGTCTCTTTAAATGTCTCCAGGGATGGGATTTCTACCCTTTCTTTTGGGAGATTGTTCCAAAGGCTTAGAAATCTGGCCTCCAAAAACATTTCTGAGACCACCACTTCAAAACACAAGATGGTACTTGGTTGATGCCAGCTCTCACTGACAACATGGCACCGGTTTGTGCCAGTGACTTAGCTGTGCAAGGTGCAATAGTCCATTTACAATTCCTTAAGCCAAACAGGTTCCCATTAGATACACACTTTTTTTTTTTAAACAAAAGCATATGAAAGAGTTTGTTGCCCAGTCCATGCTTTGCTCTTTCCTCTGTTTCTTTTACTGTTTGTGACACAGAAATAAATCTGGCTTTAACCTCTCACCAACATAAAATATCTTGTTGGGAGCAAAGCTGTGACACAATGATCTTGGTTTTACAGGGATCTTTCATTGCTTCATCTTTGTTGGCATCTAACCTGGCAAAAAGTGCCTCTCCACCTTGAATTTATTGGATTCATTCAGAGCAAAAGAGTAGAGAGAGCTCATCCGAAATATATCGGTAAACAAGTGCTTGTCACTGCTGGGGTGATTACTGTAATATTTATATTCCAAAGACTGCAACTAAGCAAAAACCTGGTCAGTAGTTCCAACAGAGAAAGCATGATGATTCTGAGGACCAAATTCAGCTCATGCATAAGCAAGCACAATTCCTATGGAATCCAAGAGGTATTGTGCCCACCTACACCAGAGCTGAACTGAACCTGGAGACTAATTCACAAAGGTACATAGGAATTTGAACTTGGGTTTCCTTCATCCCTGGTGAGTGCCCTGACCGCTGGGCTATTGGCTATTCCAGGGACATCTAGGCACACAATTCTCGACTTCCTTGCACTTGGCTGTCTTTTGTACGGGGCCTGATCCTGTAGGTGTGCTCCGAGAACACCTACAGAATTGGGCCCTGATGGGAAGCGAGGTAGGGGAGTTGCCTACATGAGCAAGGGCTCTACGCTGCTTGGCTGTGCGGTGGCATCGGGACTTAGTGGCTCTGTGCATGCCCACTGGCAGACACTTAGGTCCCTACAGGGTTAGGCGACAGCTGAGTGGTGATATTGAGAATGTCAGAGGCAGCTAAGTCCCTTTGTGAATCTGGCCCTGCAGGCCTGATTCTTTTACTTCATCAGGCCAGTCTCTGCCAGCAGAGGTATGCTATTAAAATCAATGGCTTTATGGATTTATACAGGAGTAAAACTAGTGTAAAGCAGGGGGGGAATCAGGTCCTAAAAGTGAGCTGGGAGCAAATTGTCAGCTCACTCCAGACACCCTTAAATACCATCCTTATCTCTGGTCATACTGAACACTGAAAGCCAATGTGCCTTTTCATCACTCCTGCAAGTTCTGTCTCTCTATGGTGAGGTGAGAATGCTTACACCAAAATGGACCTGTCTGAAATTGGGCTGGGATGTAGAGTTTGATGTTGCTGTATGAGAGATGCCTATTGCTGTATATACTGAAAAACTAACTCATGCTCAGGCATGCGAGGAAGTGAGATGCCTCTAGAACAGCAAAGTCAAGTAGTAAGTGTCTGAACTTTGATCTGTTCTCTGTAAGGCTAGGAAAGGTGGCTTAGTGGACAGGACATTGGGCTGCGATTTGGGAGACTTTGGTTCAATTTCTGACTCAGAAACAGACTTCCTATATGGCCAATGGCAAGTGACTAAATTTAGGCTATGTCTACACTACAAAGTTATGTCGACCTACAGCCACGGCATTGATGTCCACACTACCCTCTGTCTGTTGGTGGTGCACCTCCTCACCAGGAGCACTTCCACTGACTGAAAAGGGGCAGCATGGGGGGCTGAAAGCCAGGGCTTGCAGCTCCATGCAGTTCCCCACTTGGAGCCCAGTTGACCTCAGGGCTTTTTGCCTCCATGCTTCCAGCCGGAAGCACAGGGGAAGCCTCCCAAGGCTTCTTGCCTCCAGTGGGGAGATCAGCTCTGGGAGTCTGGTTAGCTGCCGTGCTCCCAGCAGGGAGCAGGGAGCCAAGACTCTGGGGGACACAGGACTCCCAGTAGGGCACGCTGATCCAGAAGCCTTGGAAGCAGCCCAAGCCTGGAGCCTGGATGGCAGCCTGGCTTGGAGCAGAGACTGGGCAGCAGCCCAGGAACCGGCCTTTTTGTCAAATTCACAGCTTCAGCAGAGCCGTGGAATTGACAAGAATGACAGCCAACAGCCGATGGAAGGACAGCAGTGTCTACATAGACACTGCGTCACCCTAATTACACCGACATAGCCCTACTCCTCCCGTTGAGGTAGTTTTATTATGTCGGCATAGCAGGGGCGTTACATTGGCGGGAGGAGAGTTTCAGCGTGTACTCCTCCACGGTTTTGTCTACAAAAGCTGACAAAACTGTATAGTGTCGACAAGGCCTATGCCTTAGTGCTCTATCTGTGAAATGGGTTAATACTTCCGTACCTCACAGGGGCATTGCGAGAATAAAATCCATTAATGGTGGCGAGGCGCTGAGATACTATGGTGCTGAAAACCATATGCAAGGAAAGTTTGGTGGCTGTGGTATAAAACACACGAAAAACTGTTTAGTTCTTAGTTTGGTCATAGAAGCAACCTGAATTAAGTAAATGTCTATTTCCTGTGTTTTCTAAAGGATATAGATAGGGCACCCAGAATTTGGAAAGGAAACTCCAGCTGCTATTAGTTCCTGACAGACACAATTGCTAATTCAGAGGCCAGGAAGTAGTGACATGCATTTTTTCCATTATAAACTAGTCAACATGCTGTTATCTGACTGGAAACTCTACCAGAATAAAGGGAATTTAAATTTCACCTCAACAATAACATAAGAGATTTTTTCCCTCTTCAGATTTTTTTTATATTTTTCATTCCTCCCAGCCCATTTGTTCCCATTCTGGCCTCTTACCTCTTGACAACTGGGATGGCTGATGAATCCCTACGCAGAGTGGATTGCCACGTGTTGTATAATGAGTAATGTACCTCTGTGTCTAGCACATAGCTGGCACTTTACCACAAATAGCAAAAAAAAAAAAAGAAAAAATCAACAATTGTAAGGTGACTGGCTTGACATCTTTGCTTTGAAGGCATAGCTGGGATGGCAAGAGGTTCTTGTAAATTGTTCTATTGTTGGCCTTCTGGGAAAGTCCTGTAAAATTTATCAAAGGTTCCTGTCCTGTCTATGGGTGTTTTGAACCGTACTCTAGAATTCTAAAGCAGGGATATAATTCTCTATTAAATGTGATGGAATGGTTTGTCTTCAAAAAAAAAAAAAAAGGCTATAGCAAGTTTATAATTTTCTGTTACATTTTAGGACTTTTCCAGAAGGGTAGACTGGGACTGGGATGTTTACACCTGCACTTATTCTTCGTGAGGATCTATTTCTTCATTCATCACCTCTAAGAACTAGGACATTGGTTAACACAGAGCATTGCTATCAATAAAGTTGACCTGATAAACTGTGTAAGGAGAAATTTATTGGGAAATGTCATGCAAGCAGTTCCGAGCATGTACATCACTGATGCCCTAACCTGTTTGTAGGCGAGCTAAGAGAGAGACACCTTTTAAATAATTTGACAGGAAGCAACTTGGCCTCTGGGCCAATGAAAATGTTCTAGTCATGAGCATGGAGAACTACTTTGCTGCCTCACATAGAGATATCAAAATGTTCCCTACACCGTCTGTTTTACTCCACGCTTTGTCCTCATTCACAGTCATTCAAAAAAGGGACAATGGATACCTAACAACGTGGGGAAGCTTTTTATTTCTGTGCCTCATTCTGAGCCTATGACAGCACAAGATATATTTTGCTAAGAAGAAGCCTGAAATGTACCATTCTGTAGAATTATACTCCATATCTCAATGGGAAGGCATTGAAGGCATTTCACAACAAATGAAATGTAGTGCACATTTCAGTTATTTAAATGCATGAAAACTAAAGATCTGAGGAAAAGTATAAAATTCAAGGTGAATATATATTAGTTTTGTGCAGATACTACAAATGTCACCTGTGACAAAGCTCTGTCCTTGCCTCCGTGGATCCCACATTTCCTGGTGGATTTCACTAGCCTCAGAGGCTCATTGGGACCCTCCACATAACCCTTCTTTCTCTAGGGACAAGGATCACAGTCTACTGAGCCATTTTCATCATAAGCCAGCGAGGGAGGTAAGGAGAAGTTATCCTTCCTTGCAGTCTCTGTTGTCTCCCAGTCTCCATGATTAATCAGGGTGTCTTAATTGACCTGGAGCAGCTTCCATTTCACTTAACCTGGTACCAGGGATTTGTTTAGTCTGGAGCTAACACATCTATCTCCCACTACTTTTCTATAGCCATCTGGCCTTGCCCCGTCACATACTGTATTTATTTGTGCATAGTTTTAGTGATGAGCTGCCAAAATCTTAACAACGGGTTCCCTCCTCACCCCATGAGGGGGTCGTTGCCCACCCCCGGCCCCCGGGACTCCTCCCCATCCAACCCCCCGGCATTCCTTGACGCCCCCCGGACTCCTGCCCCATCCACCCCCCTCCCCTGTCCCCTGACTGCCCCCAGAACTGGGCAGGAGGGTCTCGTGGGCCACCGTAGTGGGTGCCCACCCCACCCCTAAGAGCCAGGAGGCACCTGCCGGGGGGCGAGGTGGGGAGTCCCAGCGGTGCTTACCTGGGTCAGCTCCTAGGAAGCATCCGGCAGGTCCCTCTGGCTCCTAGGGGCGGGGGAGCGTAGCTAGGGGCGGAGCAGGGGGAGCGGTCGCTCCCCCACTGATCACATCAAAAGTGGCGCCTTTGGCGCCGACTCCCTGGGTGCTCCGGGGCTGGAGCACCCACGGGGAAAAATTGGTGGGTGCAGAGCACCCACCGGCAGCTCCCCACCCCGTGCCCGGCCCCAGCTCACCTCCGCTCCGCCTCCTCCCCTGAATTCACCGCCCCGCTCTGCTTCTCCACCCCCTCCCCCGGCTTCCCGCGAATCAGCTGTTCGGCGGGAAGCCAGAGAGGGCTGAGAAGCAGGCCGCTGCTTCCCATTCAGGCCGAGGGTGGCGGAGGTGAGCTGGGGCGGGAGCGGTTCCCCTGCGTACCCCCCCCCGGGTTACCTGCTGCAGTGCGGACGGCCCTCCTCGCACCCTCCCCCTGCCCAAGCTCACCTCCGCCTCCCTGGGCCTGAGCGGGAAGCCGCCGCTTGCTTCTCAGCCTGCCCCGGCTTCCCGCACAAACAGCTGATTTGCGGGAAGCCTGGGAGGGTGGAGAAGCAGAGCGGGGCGGCGCGTTCAGGGGAGGAGGCGGAGGCAGAGTGGAGGTGAGGTGAGCTGGGGGTGGGGCAGGGAGAAGTGGGGGAGGGTGGCGCGTTCATGGGAGGAGGCGGAGCAGAGGTGAGATGGGGCCGGGGGTGGGGCGGGGAGCTGCCGGTGGGTGCTCTGCACCCAGCAGTTTTCCCCGTGGGTGCTCCAGGGCTGCAGTACCCGTGGAGTCAGCGCCTAAGGCGCCACTTTTGGGCAGTTACATTTAGAAGCCCTTTTAGAACCGGTTGTGCCTCGCGGAACGACCGGTTCTAAAGGGGCTTCTAAATTTAACAACCGGTTCTAGCGACCCAGTGCGAACCGGCTCCAGCTCACCACTGCCTAGTGTCTATGGAAAATAGTTGCAGTTGTGAAAAAGCTGTGTTTGAGAAACAGAGTAGTAGAGGAGAGCTCAAGCACATTTCAGTGCTATCCCTGGTGAGTTTAGCTACTGAAGAGTGAAGCAATCAGTAGTTAATTGCTATGGAATGTGCACTGGGATAACACTTTTTCAGATGAAGGAAACCCATTTATTGAAATTATACGTTACTTGAAAGAAGGGGCTCTCTGTGCTGCTGTTGCCTCTCAACGGTATGTCATGATTTCAGCATAACTTCTGAGGGAGACGGTTCATACACAAGTTGGGGAAGAGAAAAGGCACCACTAATTCCATCGTTCTTCGTGGAACGGAGACCAAGATGCTGCTTCTCATCTCAGTGTTAAAGAACAGGCTTCCTCTAGTGCACAGCTGAAAACATCTGCACTTGTGGATCCTATAGGACTATGACCATATTGTGGTTTTGGTAAGATGTTCATTTCCTATAGGGGCTGTAATTGTAGCTCTTATGTGTTTTGGGACTGATCTAACTCTCAATGAAGTCAATGGAAACGCTTCAGTTTACTTCAGTGAGAATTACATCCAGCTGCAGAGGAGGCCATTTATTTAAGTGGGTGGGCAGAGATTGGCTTAGATGAGGGCCACTCATTATTTGTAGAGGTTAGATGAAAAATTATCATATACATGAGTCTGCAGTCAGTGAATACTCAGGCATAAATTTAAGGGTTAGTCTGTTTATTTCCAAAGAGTCGCATGTATCTGCACTGCCCCGGGAACAGACAAGGGAGGAAATTGATCCTCTCCCTTTGCTGCTTGGGTGAAGTAATCTGCAACCTTGGCCAGTACATTGCGGGTAGGGAAATAGAATCAAAGCTTTGCCCACGCTCCCCTCCCAACTGTGCAGAAGGAGGAGTGACTCCATGGAAGCTGCGCTCCCCCGTGCTCTGACAGTGTGAGTAGCCCAAGGATAGGCTTCTCCCGCTTAGTTCCCACAGAGGGTGTGTAGGGTGAGCCATAATCTTGCCCTGAATTAACCTCGTCAACTGGCAGACAACTAAAGAAGAGAATGAGCAGTCCCAAATCAGTACAGATGCAACAAAAAGCACAGGAGTTCTATGATTTACATGTATGTTCTTTACTAAAAGTTCAGTCTGCAAAGGTCAGTATACTAAAAATACCCCGAATAAAGGAGATGAATACAGACATGTGCCAATGGTAACAGCAAGAAACATTGTGTCCACACTGTTTTTCCTGACAATAACGAGATAAACAAAAGGCCATGTCCTGCACTCAGCCTGCCCACTGGGCACCCTTTGAAGTTAAGAGAGTGTCTGGGGCAAAACCTGATAGCAGGATATAGTTCTCTAACCCAACTCCCATTAAACTCTGGAGAAAGAATCCTGTTGACTTCAGTAGGTAGGGGTTAGTAAGTAGGGGTTAGATTGGACCTTTAAATAGTCCTGTGTTCTCTAAGAAATTAGATTTCTCTATTACATAATTAAAAAGAACTATAGTCAACTCTTCTTACTCTGGTGGTGGTAGTAAAAATCTACTGGAGAGAGGTTATAGTTGCATACAAACCTCTGTTAATGGTATTCTCTGTCCTGAATAGTATCTGGGTCACTTCCATTCAGACTTGTCCAACTATTTCCGCAGTAATGTTAGCTTTCACATGTTTAAAAAGAATTACCAACCAGTTTTTAAAAAGTCACTCCTGCAAGTCATTTCAGTGAAATACTAATTGCAAAGTTACTTAGTACAATTAATAACGTACTTTTACTTCTAATTCTAATTTGGAGGAAATTTTAAAAAACCCAACAGTTAAATACTATTTACTAAAAGAAGCACTTTTTCATTGGTCACTGTTCAGAAAGCAAGTATTTCTTTATAGTAAGTATATGACAAGATAACATACTTGTGCACTCAGTGCTAAATTACTTATAGAAGTACTACACTATTGTTAGTATTTTTTTTACTTAAAACATATAAACAATAAATCATTGTTAAGCCCCAAACCAGCAGAAGTATGTGCCTGGCTTCTATGCTGAACGTGAGTATGGAAGATGATGTTCTAGTTGGCTTCTGTGTTCCTCTCTGACAAAGAAGCTGGACATATTTTTGATGGATTGGGCCCTTTGAGTGATGTCTACATAGTATGATAAACAGATGAGTTTATTTTATAAAACAATACACCACAAGGGGGAGCAGACAGCTATTTGTGAACAATCCTGCTACCTGTAATCCAGATTACAGTACTAAGAATGTTTTAACTCTAGTGTATGAACAGAGAGTTTGATTAGATAGCTACAGTTTTAGCACTGGTAACATTTCCCTCACTTGACAAAATACAAATCTGTCATTCTCACCACCGCCTTGATCAAAATGAGAGGTTGGGGGGAAAAATCTGAGCCCTTCACCACCCGTTGAAAATTAATGGAGGGGAATGAAATAAATTAAGAGGGCATTGTCAGGTTAAAAATAATATTTAAAATGTATTTTCTTAGCTGTATGTTCCTAACAACAGATTGGGGACCTGATCCTGTGAGGTGCAAAGTGTTTGCAGCTTCAAGAGACACCCCCAGCACCACAACTTTATAGTTACAAAGGAAAGAATTTTCTACACTCTCGTTTACTTTCTAATATTTATAGGTCAGATTCTGTCACCCGTTTACTTGACTAGTACCTTATTCTGCATGGAGTCCCACTGATTCCAGCAGGACTATTCATGGGGTAAGGTCCTACTAAATTCATAGATGCTAAAGCCAGAAGGGACTATTGTGCTCATCCAGGCTGATCTGTTTAGCCCAGGCCATAGAACTACCCCAAAATAATTCATACAGCAGATTTAGAAAAACATCCACTCTTGATTTAAATATTGTCAGTGATGGATTAGTAAGGAACTAAAGGAGGGAAATGAAATTTTACAGCTCTACATGGGTTTATGGAAAATAGATCCTGTCAACCTAATTTGAGATCTTACAAGTTTGGTTGCTAAAGGTAATAGTGTTGATGTAATATACTTAGACATCTGTAGAGCATGTGAGTTGGTATGACATGACATTTTGATTAAAAAACTAGACTAATATAAAATTAACAT